TTTGCATGTTGTAGTCTATTTACTGCAAACCATTGTACTACAGCAATCATATTAGGAATTGTATTACTTTTCCTCCTCAGACTCATTTCTTCCTGGGCTCAAGTATCAACCTTAAACATTTCAGTACTCACTGTACACAACTGAACGTGTTCCCAAAGCCCATGATCATTCATTTTATTCACCATTATTTAATTTGCAACATTGTGCTTTCGCTGAACATCCTAATATACTTTAGTTGGAAATGTGGTTTTCTGCAATAATAAAAAAAGTTTAGTCTGTATTATGAATCTACTTTTGAGATCGATCCTGTTGCATGAACTTTGACCATAATTTCAGTTTACTGAAATGGGATCAGACATTTTCAAAAAACACTAGGATTCTAAGACTTTAAAAAAGCATTGTGTTATTTTAATTAATCTTATTTTTTCTTATCTTAAGACCCATGCAAAGCCATGGTCTATAGGGTAGAATGAATCAATCCGACTTTCTCTCTCCTGATACTAATTCAAAAAGCAAGTACAGCAAGTACAGATCCACAAGTACTACCTTTTATGGTGGATTGAACCAGTGCACCGGTAATTAAGGAGCAGTACACATGGATCAGGAGTGACAATATTCCTTGTTGCCATTTTGACCATTTGAAACATCTGCACTGTATGAGCACACACTACATGAGGACCATATCAATGATAGACGCATGTGACAAATGTACATTGAAACACACTGAAAAAGAAGAGGCAAAGAGGGCTGTGAGAACATTACTCAAACAACAATTCAAACACAGCGATGATAGTGATAACACGAAACAAAAAGAATGTTCTGTGGGTACCTAAGGCAGTACAATACAAGTGTCTGTGACAAACAGTCTAGCCAGTGTCACCACAGGTAGCTTTGTCATCACAAGCAACATTGCTGTACTGTAGTGTATATTATCTTATATACCCCATGTTGTGTGCTGCAGGAAACAATAGATGGAGATTTTCTTTAACCAACAGAGGACAGGGGCACACAATCTCTTTCTTGAGGAAAGAGTTGAAGAAATGAAGAAAATAATGGAGGAAGGCAAGAAACGAGAAATTTCAAAAAGAAATCAATGGGGGGGGGGTTATGTACAAGACTTGCAGCAGGTGGCAGGTGTATTATTTCTTCAATGTGACTTTTTTTCTCTGTGGTCTGTCCAAAGCCTGCACCACTCAGGAGGTGGTGGATCCAGCAGTGTGTATGCCTGGAGGCTGCAGTATTGCCTTTGTTAGCAAAAATTTTTTACCTTTGGCTTTTGAAGGGCAGTGTTTGAAAAAGAAACTAAAAAGTTCACAGTCGCTTCCTCCCCGTGGGGCAATGGGAGAAGGACTGTGAAGGGAAAGGTGAGAGACTTAGCCAATAGCCTGGTTTTCATACCAAGCTATCGAGGGCATATTCATTATTAATGTCACTCAGTGCCCCCCTGCAACATTGCTGTAAACTAATCTTTGATTATTTTTGCATTATGGCCACCATAAAAAAAATGAAGGCCTGAGTAAATATTCAGTACTAAAGCATGCAACAGCATTTCTATTTCTCTCAAACACACTTCAGCCTCCCCACTAGCCATTAGGTTTAGAACCCATAGATAACAACAAATGGATTCTGCAGCAAATATTTCTCAGATCATGGCCTGTGCTGCACTGTTTTTGTTTTGGTGTTTGATCCACATCCATCAACCCACGGACGCTTTTGCAATTCCCCATAGTCTTCAGTCTGCGGTGCTTCTAGTGTTAGCACAAGCATCGACTACAATGGAAGCGATTTGCTCTGGCAGCCGTAGCGCAGCCGTAACACGGCACACACGCCTCCTGTGTGAGTCCGCCTTTAGGGGAATCACGTTTTCTGACGGCTCTTGCAGAGGTGTGTCAAGCAGGCTACAGACAATTTTAATGTTGTTCAGAATTTTTCAAAGTAAAAGCTGTTCAACTCCAAATACTGCTTTACAGTAAACAAGCTTCTCGTGCTTTTATTTTGTAAACAAAACCACTAAAGAGGAAGTTATTATGTGAGTAACTGTTGCTGCCATGACTGAGATCTATTTCAGCACCACTATCAAAGTATTTATTTATTTATATTTTTTGCTGCTATTAAAGTACCATAATCTGGCAGCTTGCCAGATATTGGCAGGCAGTTTTGGCGAGGGTCCATAATCACAGAGAGAATGAATGTTTTTCTCTTGTCAATGTTTGTATAAACTTTATCTGATGTGCGGTTTATAATGGACTGTGGAGCAAAAATAGTGACCGTGTTTCACATTCTTGGCTTATATTTTCCATGTTATCTGTCAGTGGCCAAGTCAAAATAACACATCGTTTTACTGAATAATTTAGTAAATATAATTTCTTAAATATACCTAAAGAAACCTAATTTCTTGACTAGCCACTCTCTGCTGTCTCAGAAGAGACACCTTTTGTGCTGTGTCAGACACCGTAGCTGTCCTACGCTCTTTGAAAGGTTACGGGGCAGTGGTAGACTGGATAGATAGTTGCAATTCACAACCCTCACCACTAGATGCTACTAAATCTTAGACACTGAACCTTTAAAAATCCATTTACTGATTAAGATTTTGATCATGTTGGCCATGGTTTCATTTGGTTTCACAGGTAGATTGGGTCATTCCAAACCCAATAGCAGAAGGTCATGGCCTGTCTCTTTGTAGAGCAATAGTTCAGGTCTCTGTCTCCTGGGATTACTGGTCAGTCCAGTTCAATTCAATTCAATTCAAATGAGCTTTATTGGTATTAAAGTGTAACAACAATATTGCCAAAGCATCATACAAACTACATAAGAACAATCAACCCCATACATTTCATTCAACAAGTAATTAAAGCGTAAAGTAATTAAAGTGTATGTGTGTTTGTGTTAAAAAAATAAAAATATATTAAAAATTAAAATAAACAAATAAAACAGTAAGCGCGTGTGTGTTAAAAAAATAAATATATTAAAAATTTAATTAAAATAAATAAATAAAACAGTAAGTGTGCGTGTTAAAAAATAAAAATATATTAAAAATAAAATAAATAAATAAAACATAGAGAATGAATGTTATCGTGAAAAGGCTGGGCTGTCTCCATCTCCCAGGAAACCAATGTCATAGGAGACTGTCTTCCCCTGGAATGCGCTGTATGTGACCTGAGTGACATACAGTGTGACTTACGTTAAGTTAGGTAAACATAGTTTCTTGTTCAGGCTCCAATACCACATAAAATCTTCACACATGTGTAGCTAGCTGTAGAATAACCACATTTTCGCAGATAAGCAGATGTTTTTTGTGCTTTAGAATGTAAATGCTGCTTTTCTTCTCGCTAATACAAGACACACCTTCATGAGGATAGCCCTGTTGTAATGGAGATACAAATCCCTGCGGTGCTGCATGGCTGATGCTCCAAGTCAAACTGAGTCAGGCCAAGCCACCACAGGTGTATGGAAAAGAGCTACTAGTGAATCTCAGTAGGTTTAGTAAAGGTTAAATACTTCAGAATGTGGTGGCTGTATACAGTGGTTCATTGCTTATCTCTAATCTCCTTGATTGAGCTTCAATAAATGCATCTGCGTAAGACACCTGGGTCTCCTGAGACTTCTTCAATCATGAGTTAACCAGCTCTCAAGGTTCTTCTTTACTGGAAGTGATACCAGATAAGAGTTATTAATATGTATGCACCTCTGATCTTACAGTGTAGAGGAGAGACCACATCAGATTTGGTTCAAATTAAACTTGAGTTTTCATGTATTTTGAGGCTGTGAAAGCCTGATTTACCTTTCAAATGCTTGCAAATACTGTAATAAAATATTTCTTTAAAGGGTTCGTTAAAGGGTCTTAGTAAATTCTACTAGTAAAACTATCCAAGAGTTTAGTGCAAATATACTGTACAGTAAATGGTAGAAAACTATAAATGGTGAAATATCAAATTAATAGCTTTTAGTCTATACTACCTTGTCTGTTTTTTTTTTCAGTTAAGTCATATATGTTTATTTGAAGCATTGATGTCCTATTGTACTTCAACTTGGTGTGATGCAATGATAAGATTAGTCCACATCAGAATTGCATAAAATACCCTGTAATCCATTGTAATTAAAACACCTGAAGGGGCCATTCTTTAGAATGAGGACCTTTTACTTGTGATATTTCATTACATTTAGCTGCTAATATCCATGGACATTTGAATGCAGAAATTGTATCTGTAGCAGAGTATTTTAAAATTGGATAATTGATAGGTTTTATTGAGTGGGTAACTCAATACTCAGTAACTAGTAAATTCTGTTAATGCAAATTACAGATTATTTTGTGTCACTTTAGTCACTGTGTAACTTTTGTTGTTGATTTGGTGCAGTATTAACTGTGGTAATGAATGTGATTACAGTGTTTGTCACTTTAAATGTGTCCGATTGATTTTATGAGTAAGATAGATTTGGTTTATTAACACAATAAATAAGTAATATGGAGATTCCAGTGTGTCGGTGTTGATCCATCCTCTTGATTTTATCTGAGTATTTGATTTGGTGTAGTATTAACTGTGTAAATAGGTGCCATTACAGTTATTTTAGAGTAAATGTTCTTGATTTTATCGAAGTAGTTTATTTGGTTTAACAACTGTTTATAATAACTGTGTAAATAGGTGATTCTGAGTGTTTGGTTTTTGATTGATTTTTGGATAAGTACTTTATTTGGTTTAGTATTAATTCTATGAATGAGTGAGATTATAGTGTGTTACTTTAAAAGTCAGTGTACTCAATTTTAGTGGAGTAGTTTACTTGGTTTAAAAACTTTAAATAAGTCATTCAGAGTGTGTGTCACTTTAAGAGTCTGTGTTTTTGATTTCAGTGGAGAAGTTGATGTGGTTTAGTATTAACTTAAAGAAGAGAGATTAGTTAAGAGTAAAAGTTCTTGATTGTATCTAAGTAGTTTATTTGGTTTAACCAATGTTTATAATAACTTTATAAATAAGTGATTCTGAGTGTGTGTCACTTTAAGAGTCAGTGTTTTTGATTTTGAGTAGTTGATTTGGTTTAGTATTAACTGTGTAATAAGTGAGATTACAGTGTGTGTCACTTTAAGAGTCAGTCTTCGGGTGGCTTCTTGATATTAATAGAGCTGCTGCTGTGTCTTCCTCCTCTGACGTAATGCCCACAGCCTACAGAGAGACAGGCAGAGAGGTCCTGTCACAGCAAAGCGATAACACTAGTCTGAACAAAAAAAATAACAGATAACGAGTTGTTGTGCTTTGGTTTGCTGTGGCCAGCAAATCCGGGCTCTGGGCGGCTGAATAACATACTTATAACATCGGAATATTACAATACCAGAGCCAACCTAACTCACTAATCAGTCGCTATCAGGGTTGCCGTGAAGCCTTAACTATCTCTCTTTCCCTCTCAGACCAAAGAAAAAAAGAGACAGCCAAGACACAGTCACCCCGTCCGACATCATCAACAAACAAAAACCCCACAAAGAGACGAACCAGCCAACCAGCCAGCCAGCCACCATCTTAACAGGCTGCTGAAAGAGACACACACTGAGAGAAAAGAGGCTAATGCTTATTTTGATCAACAGGTAAGCAGCACCAAAAGAAACACTACTAACACAAATGCACACCATGCATACAGCCCTCTCTAATAGTTGGTGCAGTGGCATTGTAAACGGCAAAAAAAAAATTGCATCGGCGATGCACGGTTGGAGTTGTAGATGGCGAAATGCATGCTCTCTCGGACAAGTGGGAAAATGAGATTTGTTCGTCTTAAAAGGAAGCCGGGCTATCAATGGTGCGTTTAGGAGACAAAATATTGCTGTTAGCCGTTAGTAGTTTTACGACGGGCAGCAGTCGGTTTGCGTCTTATGTAACTAACGGCCTGAGCAGCGTCGGTAAGGAAAGGGGGATCTGCTGAATGAGAGAGAGGAAAAGAGCAGTACCGCTTTGAATTCACATGGCAATTTACATTTAGGTTAGGACACCCAAACGCTACACAAATACAAATTGGGGGGCTACTGGGGACGGCTACTGCTTTGATTTGAGACTGAGTTTGAAGCCAACAGCAAGGGGACGTGGAGTGACTTAGTCGCCTCAAGTAGGTTTGTGTTTCTTTTTTAAAAATAAGTTTTGTTTCTTGTTTTTTTGACATTAATTTACGATAAGTGGCATCCTGACTGAACTGCTAGAAGCCGGCGACTTTTTGTCACTACAAACTAACTCTTGTGTAACTACTTTGTGGCACTTTTTTGGTTATTTTCATTGATAACTTGTTTTCATTACTGTCCTGACTGCAAACTTGATACTCAAGTTCAGATTTCTTGGTCCTCCGAGTGACGCACGTCGCGGAGAAAGAGGGGAAAGATGTTTTTGTGCCGAGAGATGAAACACAAGTTATAGATGCTTGTAGTTGATTGGGCTAAAAGTGGGAAAAAGTAGTGCAACTTTAGATCAAAGAGACTGTGTTTATCCAGTGGTTTACAGCCGATATGGCGCTGTTTTCTTGCACCTCTTTCATTGTTAGGAAGCTCGAGAGCGCATGGTGGATGTGAATTGTCGTAAAAGATCAGCAAACATCCTGCCTTATCAACTTTAAGGAAGAACAAGTACTTATTAGTTCACATGTCGCGCATTATTTATTTGTTGTTGTTTTTGTTGAACTTTTCACGAGTGATGCCGAGAAGCCTGGGTTGCATTTCCACTCAACTTTCAAAAAGTTACCCCCCCCCCTCCTCCCTGTCGCAAGAAACTGTGATGTTCCTTTGAGATAAGGGAGCTGGGTAGGCATGACAACTCTGTGGGGAGAGCAGAGTATGTGAGGCCAGTACAATGAGGCACACACTGCAAGGAAGCTTTTTACATAGTCCTTCACAGTTCTCCAAATCTGGCCCCCCCAAAGAACTGCTTATGTGTGGACCGACTTTTATTCAACAGATAACCTCAGTAATTTTTTAAAAAGCAGTGCAGGCCCGTGGGACTTTACACTGACCCCACACTTGTTCACTGTTGTTTGCAAAGCGGACAGTTTGTATTTTATTAAGTGAGTAATTAAATCATTTATTCAGTGGGTAACCTTGTGACGTTGCTAAACTTGTGCTATTTTTACAGTCCTTTCAATACACAGCAAGTCTATGGCGTCTTTAGCTTCAGAGCATTTTGGTGTCAATCTGAAATATAGAAATATTATAAACTGCCTTTTTAAAAGCACTTTAACAAGAAAGACTCTCTTAAAGTTCTGGCTTCCAGTATTTCCTGAAAAATTTTCTGTGACAAAAAAAGATCTCACAACTTGTTGCAAGTTTGGTGCTCTCGGCCACAGTAGTATGGAAAGGCTATACGGGCATCTCTTCAATCCATAAAACTGTGGGGATCACTTGAGGTAAAATATAAATGAACAAAATTATTTACGAGGCTTTTTAAGATTACTTTGCTTTGCCGTTTTTACAAGCATCATGATAACACAGCTCTAACTCTGAAGCTATAAACGCTGAGTATTTGTTGAGACTTTTTTGAGACTCTGGCAAATTGTGGGCAAGTGGTTGTTTTTGTTACTTTTTTTGAAAACAAAAGACTTTACAAAGTTGCACAAAGGCTGTCTCAGTTAAAGTTCAGTATCCAGTAGATTTATGTGACGTACCGTTCCATGTGTAACTTTTTCTAACAATGCCTTAACGTCTGCTTTGTAACACTTTGCGTGCCTAATGGTGACATATCTTTCAAATAGTTCAACAAATTCCTATAGATGTTATCAAGTGTTTTTTATTACTCTTTTTTTTTGTAACCTGACATGGATTATTTTGATTCAGTGGTGTAATACTCATAATGGGCACCTCACAGCACTTTGTGAGTAAATCCACGATCAAGTGCTTTTTAACTGACTTTTAATTTAGGTGGCAATATTTTTTTTACACAGCTGTCCTGTCATGTCCATGGTGCCCTTAATGTTTTCCATTTGTTTCCCCACACTTAGAGCCGACACACTCCAGCCTTGTGTGGAGTCGCTTTTAGGTTTCAATAGTTGTATGTCCAAATAATTTGTTCTTATATCCATAGCTGTCACGCATGTTTCATGCCTTTGCTAAACTTTTAAAAACAGATAACAGATTCCCCTTAAATGCGTGAAAAAACATCTGATCTGGCAATGTAGCAATCTAGCTCTATAACTATTTAAAATGCTCCTCTTTCCAGACACTGGATATTATTGTATCTTACGGCCTTGTTCGTAGCTGCTATTAAACGTCAAAACAGTTGACAACTTCCTAAAGAGAACCTCTGCTTGTAAAACTCTTTCCCGTATGTGTGTGCGAGACAGAGTGGGAGAAACACAGCACTTTGTGTGTGTGTGTGTGTGTGTGTCTGTATGTGCTGTGGAGACAGCCGTGGCTTACTCATATGGCTGCAATATGTGAAGTCTCTGCGGTGGAACTGGGAAGAGAGAAAGTTTTGAGAGAGAAAGACAGAAACAGTGAGAGAGAGAGAGAGAGAGAACACATGGAGTGAGGGAAGTCAGAAATGTCCTGTTCAACTAGCTGGAATGTATCTCCTGTGTTTTATTGATAGTTTGATGTTCTGTAAGACATGAGGAACAACTGTAGTGATTTTGTGGGCTGCCATGCATTTTCCTTTGGTCGTTTCAAAGCAGCGCTGCGGTACAAGGGAAAAAAGTTTGAGATGGAGTTTATAAAAGTTGCGCCAAACTTTCTACTGTACCTCGTCTACATGATACAGTAAAAATCTTTGGGTGAGGTATTTTATTTGCCTTATCTTACCTGCTAAAAGCTGTTACCAAGGAGAATGCGAGTAATAACTCCTGCCATAACCTCAGTCTCTCAGTCGCTGCTGTCTCTCTCCTTCTGCCTGGACGGATGTGTGTCCTTTCTCTGAGCGCTGTGTCCTGTTTCACCTAGTTATAATGTTTTTCAGCTAATCTTGGCTTTCATTGCTGTTCTGTAAACTGGTTTTCTGTGGACATATTAACATGCTAGCTACAGACGAGTCAGTGGAAGTGAAAAAGAAGTTGTCTCTCTGTGGAGAGAGCAGCCCTCTAAAGTCAGTTGAGCTAAATATTTTGTGCCGTCGAGATGGATTTAACTGTTAGTTACTGTTGCGGTGACTGAAGTGGAACCAGGAGCAGCTGTTTAAAATCTTTGATATTACTGTTTTATTTCTGTTTTTACCTTTGGCTTCTTCTTGTGCCACTGGTAGGGAAAGCTTTGCTCACATAATCAAGCACATGTTCACAGCTGACCTAACATCTCTATACCTCGCCATTAAGATCCTGTGTTAATAAAATCTGTATTCACTCAATCTTAGTAATAAAGCAGATTGTTGAAACGTAAGAAGATCAGAAGGGATAGGAGGCTTTTTCTCCTCCTTCAGGTTTTTAAGTGCTTTTCTTCATGTGGACCCACGGCTCCCATTTATTTCTAATATCTGATCCCATTTATTTATGAATGTGAACTGTCTTAACTCTGTTTCCAATAAGCAGGAAAAGATAGCATCTATTAGAGCAATCAGTCGTTATTCATCTCAACCCTGCCTGCAGTTCAGATAAAGGAAAATCTCCATTTGTCACGGATAGTTTATTTAAAGAAAAAACCTTTTTGCAAGGCTTCTGACTCTCTTGGCTCAAAGCTCTGTAGCTCGCACTTCTTTGTTACCCAGTCTCTTGTTTTGCTCGTATCCCAAGGACACAATTGTTTTTAACTTATTTAACTGTCTGGGCACATTGTTTTTCAGCTCTTTCATTGCTTTATATTAGCTGCTTGTAACGTCGGTGATACAGGGATTTGAGCTTATTCTCCTGTTGCATTTACTGGAAGTCACTCTGGAAAAGATTGTCTGCTAAATGCCCAAAATGTCATCCCCACTCTGTCTGTGGTTAGCACAGCCTTGTTTAGGCTTGAGTTTGTCTCTAATGTCTTTGGTTTTATTTTAGACTTTTAAGTCTGTCTTTTAGACGGCCTGCTTCAGATAACGAGCACATGGTCTTGGTTTAGGGTGAAATGATTCTTTTTTTCCCCCCGTTTCTTGAGGTCTTTTTTGGGGACAGACAAATCCTAAATATGGGACAATTTTTCTTCCTTTGATCTGAGAGAATAAATAATCCGTCTGTCACGATAGAGTAGAGACTGATGAAGTGGTGGTGGAGCAGATTTAGGCATATACCAGTAGAAGGTGATGACACAGGAAGAAGAGTGGTCTTGTGGCTAGGAAGACTATGCTGTTACCAAAAGTTTTGATGTTCAAACCCAACAACACCTTCTTGCTTTTTTAAACTTATTGTCTATGAGTATCAGTTAAATCTAAATAAATACACAGTAGATGACCTTTGTGGTAAATGGACAAATGCTGTATTTTCTAGTACCAGAAAGATATTTTTAATCTTTGGCTCTTGAGCTAGATAACGAGAAGCTTGCTTGTCTGAGAAACCTGACTGCTTGTTATGTGATGCGTTATGAGTGGCGAGTTCTGAATGCTTTGACTCAGCATTGTACTTAGCACGCTCAGGCTTCCTGTGCACCCGACGTTCAGTTATCAATCACTGTTCATATGAGTGTTGACCTTGTGTAAAACACAATTGGAT